CAAAAAGGAGCTACTATGGGGTCTATAGGGTATACTACACAAATCATGATACTATGCAGGGGGCAATCAGGAAATCCCTGAAGAGTATAGTTTGGGTCGGCAGAGCCTCGTGCAGGACATGCGCCTTGCCTTCCCCACCGAGGCACCTGGAAGAAATACTGTACCTGCCTGCCTAACCCCCCCCCCCCCCACCCCGGAAAAGGTCGGTTTAGGGTTTAGGGTTTAGGGAACAATGGAGTACCTCCCTGCCTAAACTCCCTGAAAAGTAGGTTTAGGGTTTAGGGTTCAAGGAATAATCGAGTACCTCCCTACATCCCAAACCCCCCAAAAGTAGGTAAGATAATAGCCCAAAACCTATACAGGGCTTTTCTTCTACATGCTTGTGGGGTCCAGGTGATGGATTCGGCCACTAGGGTTTGGGGTTCAGGGTCGAAGATCCTTCCCGTCTGCTGGACTTCCGAGCTGTTGCCTCTGGGTGCTTCCGCCAGGTTTGCCCGAAAACGAGTCGCTGCCTCGGCATCGGGGTTTAGGGTTTAGGGCTTCGCTGAGCCTCTCACCGTGCGCTGCTTTGGACGCCTTTTGCACCTTCTAGGGATTAAACTTGGCTTGCCACACCTCTTAAAGCAGGAGGTGGAATGAGGGAAATGAACCTCCATGTGCCTAGCGACCCGACTCAAGGGTTTGTGATTCCACCTGCCAAGAAAGCTGCCCTCAACGACGCGAACAAGTCGACAGCCGCACTTCCCCCGTTAATCCCTATGAGCACTCAGGTTCCGTGACGGGCAAGGCGAAAGCAATGGTTGGCTCCGTGCCGGAGCCTCACAGGGACTGTCAAGCACGGTTAGGGGTATAGCCGGGGGGGGGGGGGGTTAGGGTTTAGAATTCAGGGCCTTTAGGGCTTGTTTTAAACCAGGGTTTTCGAAGCGTTGCAAAAGGGTCTTATGAAAGGGCATCATTGGGGTCTTCTTCGGTTATTCCCCACAACCCTCCAAGGGCTTTAGAAGGATTCTGGTATCTTGTCAAGTCAAGGGGTTGAGTGGGAGTTTCGTGGGGGATTTTATGACGGTACCCATAGACCCCATAGTAGTTCCCTTTTGGGGTTCATATTTAGAATCCTATAAGGTAATCCCAAAAAGCAACTACTATGGGGCCTATGGGTAAGGTTGTGGAAGTTGTTGATCCAGGCATGCTTTGGGGATGTTGCCCGGGTTTCGTTGTTTGCACACTGGGACCATAACAGCGTGCGTGCTGAGGTTTGGCCCACATCATTAGGCTGCCGTTGGAACGTTGGACGCTCGGAGGTTCTGACATGCACGCTGCAAGCCCCTAAACCCTAAACCCTAAACCCTAAACCCTAAACCCTAAACCCTAAACCCTAAACCCTAAACCCCTAAACCCTAAACCCTAAACCCTATAGGTCTGCTTGTGCTGACTGAGGTTTGATTGAAAGCTTGGGCTTTGGGGTATCAGCAGCAATACACTCGTCCCTTCGGTACTTCGCAGCGACCAGGAGCAGTTTGAAGGATCAGGGCCCCTTGACCCGAAGCCCAAAAAGTGGAAAAAACCGAGGCTTGAAGCGATGCTTGGAGTACATTCGATGCACGCGGAAATTCGATGCAGAGAGGATGATTTGGTCTTCTTGTACAGCAGTGCACAATAGCTGGAGCTCGCCAGAGCTTTTGATTTCATGTTCGTGCACCACCGCAAGATGCAAGACGCGAGAAAAAGAAGCAGAGTAACCAGGGGGTGCTATGCTAGATCGAGCTTCGGGCCGGTGGTACCTCTTGCTCTTAGGGTTGATACGAACACTGGCTAGTCTTTGGGTCAAACCCCAACGTGACATGCGGCCGATCCTTCCATTCACAGGAGTCCTTGACGAAGCTTACATGCGCAATTGTTCGACAGATCTGACAAGATTGAGCTTTGAAGTGTTCGGGTTCAAGGCACACGCCTTGCCGTCGTAAAAAACCGACCACTCCGCCAACCCGCCACCTCCCCTCTGCACCCCCCCCCCAGGCTTCGAAACGAAGGAGACTCAATACTTCGACTAGGGTTTCGGGGTTTCTGCACGACCACTAGCCAAGGAAGGCTATGAAACTAATCCTTCAGTCCCCTTTATCCCGCGCTCTCTTTGCTCTGCTCCAACGCGATGGCTGACAATACGGGAGCTGCATTTTCAGTGCAACGGCCAAGCAAGTTTCGCCGGCGGCACACGTTCCATAAATGAAAGCAGTTGTCTCCACCTACGGGTACGAGCGAGATACGCCATGATGCCAACAGCTTCATGCGCAGCAAGCAACCTACCCATAGTAGTTCCTTTTTGGGATTACCTTATAGGGTTCTGAATATGAACCCCAACAAGGAACTACCATGGGACACCCCGCTTGACCTCCCCTCCGACCAAGCGTGCAAGCTTGCATCTCGTCGCGATCCTTTAAGTACATAAGCCTCACTTCGGGCAGGGCCTGGAAGAAAGCTGACTCTTAACCCTAAACCCTAAACCCTAAACCCCAAACCCCAAACCCTAAAACCCTAAAGCCCTAAACCCTAAACCCTAAACCACGGGCGTAGCTGGCCTGAAGCCCGAGGCCAGCTTGGGTCAGCTTTGGCCAGCACTAGAGACTCTTGCTCGTTCTCCCAGCAAGGCGAAGACACCCTCCATCAGCTGCCTGATTTGGTTTGCCCTAAACCCTAAACCCTAAACCCTAAACCGTGTCTGTGAGAATCGAAATGACTGATTGAGTTCGAGCGTAACAATGCACCATGGCCGATATTTTCGCAAAGGTACCCAGCATACGCACGCGCACACATACGTCGACATGCAGAAACACTTGCTTGAGCTGCGCACAAAGCAAGACAGATCAAGAATCACATCCACTTTCGGCGGAACAGTCGTTGGCCGCCTTCGCCCAAGTGAATAGTTGCTTGTGGACGTTGATGCCCGGGTGCTTGTCAGACGGCTGCAGGGCACAGCAAGGACATGCATTAAAGCATATTGGGATGAGGGAGACTGACGACAGAGCCAATCTAAAACAGCGCACGCCGCAAAGCTGCTGTGAGGATGCAATCGGACTCGCCCGATTCAAGCGGACGTTACGAATGGAATCGGCTTGAGTATCAGCTTCTCCTCAAGCCCTATACCACCACAGAACAAACCAGATACTAACCAGATCGACAAGCACGCATAATCGGATGATCACATAAACTGGGCCGTACACCCGTTTCCATCTATCCGTCCGCCCTCTTATTCCTCCGTCCATCCCTTTCTTTGTCATTTGCCCGTCCGTCCTCCGGCCCTCTCATTCCAGCGTCCAGCAGTTTGTTTCTGTATCTGGAAGTCCGTCCGTCCCCTCTCATTCCTCAGTCGATGGCCATCTGTTTGTTTGGCCGTGCGTGCGTCCGAGCCGTTCAGCCGTTTGTCCATTTGTCCACTCCTGCTCCGGCACTCTCATTCCTCCGTTCACAGCATCGTTTGTCCGTCGATGCCCGTTCTGCATGGGAACGAACGCTGCGAATCGTCAGAGACTTGGCACGCGTCCAATGACTGCGAGCTGTAGCCACCGTCATAGCAGCAGGCCATGACCAGCACGGCCATTGGAAGCCCGTGGCCCGCACCACCGCACGCGAGCCAGCTGGGCCCAGAGATTGACCACGTGCTCGACTTCGCCGAAGCAGCGGAGCCGAGCCGGTTGCTGCTGCGCTATTTTGATCGTCGGTGTAGGCGGAATAGTCCGAAGGAGCGTCGATCGCTGCCCTTACAAGGTCCGTTGGCCGAGGGGAGTTCAAGGGGGGAAGCGGCAAAGTCCGTTTGAAGGTGCAAGAAAGGAGCCCGGACCATGTGCGACCCACGCGTTGATAGTTGAGGAAAGTCTGAGGCGGGCAGCCCTCGCTATGCCGGGCCTGGACGCCGTTGCTTCTCGTATTCCACCTCTGTGCCTTCACCCCCGTTACAGATGGCGCTTTCGTGCATTTTGGCGGCTTTGTTGTGCGCCCCCACCAGGAAGTCGCCCTCATTGTGCCGTGCTGTGGCGTTTCCGCCTAATTTTGTGTTTTCTCGTCGCATTCATTTCTGTGGTGCGCATGCAAGTCTTCAAACAACCGATTCTAACAGTTTCGAACTCAAAACGTTAACAGTCGTGCCGGCGGCATCCAAATGGATGGCTTCACGCAGCACGAGTTCGCCGTTGTGCCAGTGGCCGGCAATGCGGTGGTTCATCACCAGTCTCCCGCTCCTTTTGGCACTGCCGCTTTGCCCTAGTCGTGGCCCAACCGATGTTTCGGCAAAGCGCTCGACAGCTTAGTCGACCACGATTTCGCGTGCCCGAGGAGGGGTTTGCTGCTGCTTGCTGGCCAAACACGCCGAAGTTTATAGCGAACCTGGGCATGCGCTTGCAAGTGGTGGCCGGAAGGCCTATTCTCGGCAGTGACAACTGGCTCGCCTACACGACTGCCCCCGGCGTCCCAGCAGACGACCGCACTTTCTTTGGCGCCAACGACACACCGGCGTTGACTTAAAATTGCTGCGATGCGATCCTGGTTCCCCTTACTGTTTGGCCGTATAGTAGCCGACCGCCGCAAGCACTCCACATACCCAGAGTTCGCGGAGGGACTGCAGCGAGGATGCTGCGGCCACCGGCAGGGCGAGGCGCCCCGCGCCAGACGAAAGGCCCAATCGCCTGCTGTTACGGGAAGCCAGGACCGTACCCCCGAAAAACAGTTCTGTTCCAGCTCTACCATATTGAGGTGCAGCGCGATTGCCCAGCAAAACCAATGATCTTCTTGCAGATCTTGCCAAAATCATTTGCGAAACCCGGACCTCCAACTACAATTCAGGCCCTGGAAGCGTTTTGCCGCTCTTGCCAGTTCGACACAGACTCTCTTGGACATAGCGAGCCATATTCAGCTTGACGCTCACGAATGAATGTTCCGGACCTTCGAAATAAAAACATGTATGCGTTTTTGGGCAACGTGCAAGCCGCGGCAAGCGTTGGCAAGTAACACATGGTAACACCCCAGCTTCATTTTGCAACATGTTGTGCTGGCTCCCTGAAGTCAATTTTCTTGGGCGGGGTCAATGCATGATTTGCCGATGTTGGAGACCTTTCAATTTCGTTTTGCCCGTACCCATGCATGCGAATCTTCACCATGGTTTGTCCGAGCCCGCTACGAATCATTCAGGCGATGTTTAGTGTCAAGTGACACCCCATGCCCGTGCTAGCCGAAATTGGAAAGTTGTCCGGCGCATGCGCTGAGCACTACAAACTCTTGTTGGGTCATGCGGATGACATGGAGTTGCTAGCGGAGGCAGCCAATTTGCTGGCGCAAGCAGAGGTCCCGCGTGAAATTGTGGAAGGCGTCGCGTTGACCCGCATGACCGCGATCCGTAAACATGGAGGTGTGGCGTGCGTGGCATTGCGACGGGCGACATGTTCCGTCGGCTCGTCTCACGCTCGCTAGCTGCCACGTGGGCGCCAGTCTTTGACCAGGCTACAGGCCATACCAGTTTGCACTTCGCACCCGAGCGGGAGTGGATGCGCTGTCGGCCCGACTCCGCGCAACCCTGGAAAACGATGCTCGTGCCACCGTTGTCTCGCTGGATGGGCGCAGTGCTTACGACTGCATCTCCCGGGCTGCGTTTCTGCGCAAGCTGCGCGAGGTGGCACCCGCACTCGTGCCCTTTGCACGCGTTTTCTACGGGCAGACTTCAGAATACCAGTGGTGGGACGACGACGGTGTCCGCCACGGCATACCCCAGGCCGAGGGGTGCGAACAGGGAGACCCCCTGGCCCCCACCTTGTTCGCACTCGGCCAACACGAGGCGTTACGCCGGGCAGACTCACAGTTGCGACAGGGCGAATCGCTCATGGCCTTTCTCGATGACCTCTACGTCCTGTTGCCCAACCCAACTGGAGCGCGCGCCGCCTTGGTTCTGGTGACAGGCATGGTCGAGACGCATACGGGCATATCCGCCAACTTGGGAAAGACGCGCGTCTTCAACTACGCAGGTGGCCCGGCACCGCCCGGGATCGCCGACCTCGGGCCGGACGTGTGGTGTGGCAACCGGCCCCCCCAGCAGCGAGGCTTCGTCGCACTCGGCACCCCCATTGGCATGCCAAAGTACGTCCGTGCCTGAGGTGCCGAAAGACTCGAAACCGAAGATGCGTTGCTCCGCCAGCTTCCCAAGTTGCCTGACCTGCAGTGCGCGTGGCTCCTCCTCAGCTTCTGCGCCGCGCCCCGCGCTAACCACGCGCTCCGGACCGTCCCTCCCGATC